ACCAGATTGGTTTGACAGGACCTGCCACTGATGAACCCATGCTGATTGCCCCTAAGCATGCAGTCCCTTGCTGGCCCCTCCTGGATGTGTGCCAGAATTATTTTCTCAAACAGCTTGCCTAGGATCGAGGTAAGACTAACTGGCCTATAGTTTCCCGGGTCCTCCTTCCTCCCTTTTTTGAAGATTGGAAACACATTGGCCCTCTTCCAGTCCTCCGGCACCTCTCCAGTGCACCACAAGTGCCCGTAAAGCCGTGCCAGGGGACCTGCAATGACCTCGGCCAGTTCCTTTAGAACTCTAGGGTGGAGATCATCTGGACCGGCTGACTTGATAACGTCCAGCCCCTCCAGAAGCTCCCTAACTAAGTCCTCGCTAACCCTTGGCTGAAGTGTACCTCCCCCGGGACCCGAAGGGGGCCCAGGAGGGAGGTTGCTGTTCTGGTCCCTACTTAGGAAGACGGAGGCAAAGATATCGTTAAACATGTTAGCTTTGTCGTCTGGCATGACGACCAAGTTTCCCAACGCGTCCTGCAAGGGCCCCACATTACCCGGGACCTTCTTTTTACCCCCTATGTATTTAAAAAAAGACTTCTTATTGTCCTTAATCTGGGAAGCTAGTCCCAGTTCCATCTCTGCCTTGGCCTTCCCAATTACCCCCCTACATCCCCGAGCAACTGCAGAATAGCCCTCCTTGGTGATGACCCCTTCTTTCCATTGGGTGTAAGCCACCTTTTTAGCAAGGAGACATTCCCGGATGCTTTTGGTGAGCCATGGGGGCTTATGCGCCCTCCTGCTCCCTTTGATCCTCGTTGGGATTACTTTCCTTTGGGCTTGGACGATCGTCTCCTTGAGGAGCAACCACTCTCCTTGGACACCTGTCTCCCGTCCCCTCCGGGACCTCTGTGCTTCCCCAACTATCCTCCTTAGCTAGTTGAAATTTGCCCTCCTAAAATCCAGGGCCGCTGCCTTACTGCATGCCTTTGCCACCTTGCGCTGGATGGTGAATTCCAGCAGGCGATGATCACTGTCGCCCAGGTGGTCGAGCACCTGCAGCACCCTCACCAGCTCATCACCCGTGGCCAGCACTAGGTCCAACAAGGCGTCCCCCCTGGTGGGGCTGTGCACCTCCTGGGTTAGATGGAGGTCCTGCACTCTGTCTAAGAACCTACCCTCAGAGAGGGGAGACTGTCACACAATATATTTATTGTTCAGAAGACTACAAAAAGATGCTTCATCATCCTTGAGTATGAAACAATGTTTCCAGAAGATTAGACTCTTTGCACAGTAAATGTAACAATCTTTTTTTTTTTTTTTTTTTTTTACATGGAACTGCCACATTGTACAGCTACAGGATCTAACTAGTTCTGTGAAGGGTTTTATTACAATGAACTATTGCTACTTATTTTGGAACAAATCAGCCAAGCAGGTTCCAGATACCTCTTACGTATCTCACTAAACTGAACAAGTAAAACATTGGACTATTTTAGGTTTATACCCATACATGGTACAACCATGGTAACTCTCTGCACTAACATGTTAGGGAACCTGTCATAACACACAGTGAGAGAGCTGGACATGGCATGGTATGAAGTAAAGAGAAATTGCTTCTGTGTTATAGAAAACTTCAGAGTTCTATGAAGAACTTATCTCATCTTCCTTCCCAATCAAATTCAATGATTAAACATTTACAGGGCCACCTTTCAAGTACAGCTGTGACCCTCATTAAGTGTGAAAGATTATTTGGGTATTAGCATACAACCAAATATTTCTTGTCAAAGAAAGATTTTATTCCTACACAAAGGAAATGAATTCTCCATGGTCCTTGAGCTCTCCCCCAAATCACCTGGATTAGAGGCAGAAATTACACATAAATTAGTAAAAGTGATTGGAAACTGTTTCAAATCTGTAACACAACGGAAGTTCAATGCACACAAACTGTTTTCAAAATGTCCCAAACTGGTTTTAAGATAAACCTGGATGGATGTAGTACCAGACTTAACTGATTTAGGTTAAATCAGTTTACTGAATTTCTGTCTAGATCCCCTCCAGATTCAATTTAATTAACAGGCCCCCCCCCAGCATCCCAGGATGCTTTGCACCTCCCTTGCAAACCCCCCTACTCCCACCCCCCCCCACAGGGCAGGCAGGCTTTTGGTTGCTTTAAACCTAAATCTTCCCACTCTATTAGAAGTCAAAAAGATTATGGGCATGAAAGATAAATGAGGGTAGGTACTTACGGCACAAATTACTGTCTGGTAAATGCCTCTGTATAAACTCTTACCCTGCTGTAAATGTAGGGTAATCTATTAAAAATTACCTCTGAGGGTAACTGCAGTTTAGCTTTCGTTACTCCAAGACAAGAGCAAAAAGAGTGCATGTGCATGGCCAGTTGCCATGGAATAGGTGACATGACATTAATCTCTATCATTCCCTTAGTAGTTGATTCAGACTCATACCCTATATTGCATAAGACTTAGAGGCTGCCTATATACAAAATACATCAAGACTTATAATATTCTGCTTATAAGAGGAAAGTAAAAATGGATGCTTTCAAGTAAAACATTGGTAAAGAACATTGTTCAAATGTCCTTGCAGTTAGGATCTCACTTCAAAATTTCTTGTAGCGTTGGAAAAGTAACCGTTTTTGGAAGCCATTATGAAGAAAGCACCTATGTTTAAAGGGCTTAAATGAATGAAAAAGTTATTTCCAACAAACTAATTTACAAAACATACATACTTTATCTTCCTATTAACTCACAGTGAAGGACAGAAATATTTTGACTACAGATGTTCGTAAGTTTTGGTCCTGTACAGACCTAACTGTTCAATTGTTGTTGCCTTTTTTATATCCAGTTGCTAAAATGTGCTGAAAAAAACTGCAAACACAGTAGATTTTTTCCATGTTTGCAATTCCTGTTGTTGCCACAGCGATGTTATGTGATTAGGGTTAGCAAGCTGGTCAACCAACTGCATATTTTTGACTGGTCAAAGATTATAGCAATTTTACGAAAAAACCTTACATTTCTTGACAGAAATACGATTTTTATTGCTTTTTTACACCTTTCCTAATGGAAAGTTTGTGCTTTTTCTGTGTATTATTTGGACCTACTGGCTTTTTTCCCTCCAATTTTTGACCAATATTTTACTAGTCAATTGACTGAACTTTATTTGACTAGTCAAATACCCAACCCTATATATGATTGCCAAAGGAAAGGGAAGTACTTTCCACTATGAAATTTGAGAACCTCTTGTTTAATGACAGAATATCCAGCTATTTAGTATCATGTTTCACCAATGTTTATAAGGTTTTATTTTCCCCTTCCTGACCAAAGAAACTGAGTTTTACATCAAGGTCAATTACACTGGGGTCATTCTGGTTTCTTGTGGTAAGAATTCCGTAGTTCAGCGGCTTCCACTGAAAATGTTCTCTCTTGGGCTCAGGAAATTTCACTCATATGGTCAATTCATTTCAGCAATTTAAGAACAGTTTTAAATAAATCACTCCTGGTACACTTTAACTGATTTCCTATGGCAGTTATAAAATATGGTGCATATCTAATCTATTTTAATGCTTTTCCTACCCCAAAAGAAAATAAAACAAAAAGTCCACACAGCTAGAAGTTGAGGAGCATATAAAGGCATCCAAAGGGTTCTGAAGTCATTTTCATGCACTCACCTGATTTGACTTTTCCACTGTGCTACTAGGAACCTCTGTGGTATCCTTTACAAAAAAATTATCTATGATGTGTCTCTCTGCACATTCCTGACCACAAATTGGACAGCGGATAACACCAACTGGAGAAAAAAAGTAAAGTGAGACATATGTTAGAACTATAAACTCTCTCATCTTAAAGATTTATCAAACAATTTCAGAAATAGCTTTTGCAAATATGTACTTTAAAATTTTGCAGTTGGTACTTCTAAGGCACTAAAGTGCAAGCAACAAGAAGCCAATCTTCCTCTACCCATTGCCAACCCACACACTCTCAGATCTGAGCCTGAAATTCTTTGAGCAACGCCCAGTTCTAGAGGGACTTCATCACCTAACAGGATTAGACATTTTATTGTTTAAGAGTCTATTCTGTTGTAACTTCACAGATTCTATTTTCTAATAAGAAGAGTGCACATCTTTACATCAGCAGTTTGGTGAAAAGTAACTGAAAGAATCATAGAAAAGCAGGGCTTGAAGGGACCTCAAGATGCCTTCTAGTTCAAGGCAGAATCGTGCACTGTGCACTTGAAAGCTAACTGAACATCTCTCCCAACTATACAGTCAGTCCAATAAAAGATAAATCACACCAAAAAGCCAACAAAACACACCCCTTATACATTTCACGGACCATCACCATTACAATACTCCAACTCTACTATAATACATCCCAGACAAAAGTTCATCAAACCAAAATTTTAAAATTTCCAGTGATGAACATTCCACAGTCTTTCTAGGTAATTTGTTCCAGTGCTTGCCTAACCTCATCATTAGGAAATTCTTCCTCATGTTTAACCTACTAGTACCATTTAAATGATTGCAGTTAAAGTATTACTTGTTCAGTTGCCTCTCCTGCGCCCCCACCCCCAACATAGGCACAGAGCACAATTGGTCAATAACTCTTCACAGCAAGCTTTCCTGTACACGAAGATCATCAGATCCCCTTTATCCATCTTCTCCAAACTAAGTAATCAATTATTCCATGCCAAACTTGTGTGTCATATTTTCTAGTCCTCTGATTATTTTTGTTTCTTTCCTCTGCACTCTTCAATTTGTTCACATCTTCTTAGAATTAGATACTCAAAACTGGATACAGTGCTCTAAGTAAGGCCTCAGCATTGAACTCTTTCCTACAATTTGCATATCACACCCCTGTTAAAACATCCCATTACGTTATTAGCTTTTCTGGCAACAATTTTACAGGCAGTCCTTGACTTAAGATGTTTCGAATGGCAACAAACAACACCTACAACATTTATAAATTGACACCCTGTTCCAACTTTCTGAGGTCAGTTTCGACTTTACGACGCTTGATCCGATGCCACGCCAGCGAACAAGTTCGCTGCATTACCCATCTCCCTGGAGACCATCTGTCCAAACTTCCACAGACACTTTAAGAAAGCAGACAACACCCTAGAAAAACCTGCAGCCAAGACCCCTGAGAAGACTTCACTCAAGAACCCTTCAAGAAG